GGCACTGCACCACCCCCTGAAAAATCTGAAGTGCACCCCCCCCGGGGAAAAATTTCTGAAATAATCACTGGGTGTGCACGACTCAGTTTACGGTACTTATAATACCTATGCAATTTCAACTTCAAATTAATGTTTTTAAAATTAATCGAATAAAGATTTTTTTTAATTTGAAAATTTTAGATTAATTTTTTTTGTAAAAAATTTATTTAAATTTTAAAAATCGTGACGTCACAAATTTGTGCTTTTCCCCTCCCCCTGTCACAAAGTGTCACAAATTTTTTTACCCCCTCCCCTCCCCCCACGAGCGTGACGTAATTTGCGAACGACTCCAAAGACCAGAGAAAGCAATTTAGGACCATTTTCTCACCCATATTATGCAAATGCGACAAAAATAAGATTCTTTCAAAATCCAATTAATTGTTTTGCTAAGAATCTGCCACCTAAACTTCGAATGGAATTGATCGATAATTTTTTTTATATTCCAGTACATCAAGGGTAACTCATAGACATTTATACGTTGCCTCCAAGGGATACATATGCTCATTTATACATTTAAAAAAAACCCTCAATATTTGGCATTACCAACTTGTGTGAGCAGATATTTTCAAAATGCGTAACTCATTTACTCACAGACGCCGCGCAGCAGTTTTGAGTCTCCGCGCAGCAGTTGTGAGTATCCGCGCAGCAAATTTCCATGTAAGTGTGTGTTTTGTTTGTGGGCTGTAAAATTTTGCACACACAAAAATTGATACTGTAAAACTTTGCACACAACTGTATGATTTTGCATATGAACCAGAAAACCTTAGAGGGAACATGAACGTCACCAGGCTGTGTTTGAAAAGAACGTCATCAGGCTGTGTTTGAAAAGAACGTCATCAGGCTGTGTTTGAAAAGAACGTCATGAGACTGTGTTTGAAAAGAACGTCATCAGACTGTGTTTGAAAAGAACGTCACCAGGCTGAGTTTGAAAAGAACGTCACCAGGCTGTGTTTGAAAAGAACGTCATCAGGCTGTGATTGAAAAGAACGTCACCAGGCTGTGTTTGTAAAGAACGTCATCAGGTTGTGTTTGAAAATAACGTCATCAGGCTGTGTTTGAAAAGAACGTCATCAGGCTGTGTTTGAAAAGAACGTCATCAGGCTGTGTTTGAAAAGAACGTCATCAGGCTGTGTTTGAAAAGAACGTCATCAGGCTGTGTTTGAAAAGAACGTCATGAGACTGTGTTTGAAAAGAACGTCATCAGACTGTGTTTGAAAAGAACGTCACCAGGCTGAGTTTGAAAAGAACGTCACCAGGCTGTGTTTGTAAAGAACGTCATCAGGTTGTGTTTGAAAATAACGTCATCAGGCTGTGTTTGAAAAGAACGTCATCAGGCTGTGTTTGAAAAGAACTTCACCAGGCTGTGTTTGTAAAGAACGTCATCAGGCTGTGTTTGAAAATAACGTCATTAGGCTGTGTTTGAAAAGAACGTCATCAGGCTGTGTTTGAAAAGAACGTCATCAGGCTGTGTTTGAAAAGAACGTCACCAGGCTGTGTTTGTAAAGAACGTCATCAGGTTGTGTTTGAAAATAACGTCATCAGGCTGTGTTTGAAAAGAACGTCATCAGGCTGTGTTTGAAAAGAACTTCACCAGGCTGTGTTTGTAAAGAACGTCATCAGGCTGTGTTTGAAAATAACGTCATCAGGCTGTGTTTGAAAAGAACGTCATCAGACTGTGTTTGAAAAGAACGTCATCAGACTGTGTTTGAAAAGAACGTCACCAGGCTGAGTTTGAAAAGAACGTCACCAGGCTGTGTTTGAAAAGAACGTCACCAGGCTGTGTTTGAAAAGAACGTCACCAGGCTGTGTTTGAAAAGAACGTCACCAGGCTGTGTTTGAAAAGAACGTCACCAGGCTGCGTTTGAAAAGAACCAATTCATTGCTTCGTTATACATTTCACCAAGAAGCAAGAATGGGTATTTCAAATGTTTAATTAGTGATCTATTCTAATCGTGTAAACAGACCACTAGACAATCTATCGGGTCACCCGAGTGTGTCGAGGACTTCTTACCGGCCCTCGTCAAAACAAAATTAGTCGACCCCCACCCCATATTAATTATTTTAAAAAAAGTGGGCTACACGCAGGTGGCGTAACCTGGTGTGTTTGGCACCCGGGTACAAGATTCATTTGTACGCCCGCTTCAACCCCGAAACCCATTATTTTCATCAATAAAATACCACCAAATCCCATCTTAGCGCCCCATTAGTCTGGTGCCCGGGGACGCACGTCTGACCTCTTCGCTGCGTCTATGGTTACTCGGAGTGTACTTATTATATACCAAAAGCATGCGTTTACTGGAAAATTTGTTTTATTATTCTACACAAATGAAGCTCATTTCATTAGACTTCTTAAGGGAGGTCATCCAGGACGAACCCGAATAGGATCCCATCAAATATCTCCATTAAATGTACATATCATCTAAGAAATAGACAAATGGTTGAGGAAACCCTAAGAGACGACAAGATACATTTTATAAATTGCACTACTGTGTTGTCCTCTGTCAGGTTTTCTTCGGCACTTTGTATTCATTTCAGTCTCCGCTAAAGTTTTTTCTGGACACCAGTCTAAGTGATGGCTGTAAATTATAATGTTCTTCACATTCGATATAGACACGGACACATGGGACGAATCGGCAAATGATCGAGTATCGTGGCGTTCTTCTGTACACAAAGGCTCCATACAACGGGAAGCCAACAGAACAGCGACTGTAGAGCACAAAATACATTCCAAAAGGGTTAAATCTGCACCTGGAGATGTCCCATCAATCTCCTGCACTTGCTGCACAGAACATTTCGTGCAAGAATCAAATCCCATCAGCCATCTGCGGACCCATAACCAAGTTCACAACTAGCATACAATATACGATTATCGAGGTGGTCATATTCGATTTCGACTGACAAACTATATAACATTTTTTAACAACAAGAATACATAAAGACCGGGAACATAACTCGATTTCATTCATTGATATTATAAAAGGTGCGCCATTATGTGTTTTCCTATTCTATGTGATAAGTACATATTCGTTGTACATTGAACGCTTTATTCAACCAAAGCATTTATAAACTGGTTTATTGTGCAAGCCTAGATTTAAATATATTGGCGGTAGACTGATTCAGTCATGTGTTTCAAATGTTTAACTGTTTACATTTTTCCACCGTAGACCACAACATTTATTCAGACTACAATATTTCCCCAGATCACCATATTTTCCCAGATCACCATATTTCCCCGATCACCATATTTCCTCAGACCACCATATTTCCCCAGATCACCATATTTCCCCGATCACCATATTTCCTCAGACCACCATATTTCCCCAGATCACCATAGTTCCCCGATCACCATATTTCCTCAGACCACCATATT